AGCAAGCAAAAGTTGTGTTATCTACATATAGAAAGTTCTTAACTGGACTTCCTATAATCCTGATCTGCATTCTATATATTTTGGAATGATTTGCTTATCATATAGATTTGTTTATCATATGGTGAAAGGATATAACAATGGTTTCAGGCAAGGAACAAAAAATACTAAATGCCTGAAACAAAAGCATACTTGGCATATTTTCCATGTTCGAGGAATAGTAGAGAGATCATTGTAATGAAAACAAAGCAGGACAGCAAAAGTAAGAAGGTTAAAAATGAAGCTGAAGAAGTAGCTGAAACACCTAGAGAAAATGAAGTCATAGTCCATAACAATTAATCAAAATATTTGGGAGTGGGGTCCAGGTGATCCGAATCTCCAGCCATGTTTGATACCCACCATCCAAAGAAGCCATGGTAGTGGAGTGGATAAATCACTGGGCTGTTGTTAGCTTGAAGTCCAGAATTCTTATCCACCACCCACTCTAAGGGAGAATGATGGAACTTGTCTGTTCTTAGAGATTTACAGCCTTGGATATGATAAGAAGCAGGACTAATCAAGGAGAATTTTTCAGGTACATTTGTACCAAGATGTAGCTGTGGACAGGTGTGGTGCTGTTTGAACAGCATGTTTCTGATGTTTGTGCAAGAAAGGGGGCTGGTGGTGGTGGTGGTGGTGGTGGTGGTGGTTGTTCTGGTTAGACATCATCCTTCATTCCTAGTAAATAGGTAGTATAAAAGGAAGAGGACCATTGATGTATATCTAGCTGCTTCCTGCAGAGTTTGAGTGCCGATGGGCTATTCACTACCCATATCACTGGCACTGAGGTAGGAGAACGTTGTGCTTTGGTCTTGAAGTAAAAGCTGGAATTGTGGTGTAATTGTTTTGACCACAAACTTCATGTCTAGACCTAAAATACAAAGGACAGAGCAGTTAAAAAAAATTATTGCTGCTACAAGGCCTAGGAAGTATATTGCCTATTTTAGAGGGCCTGTGAGAAAAATCTCAGGTTCCATTAGCCTGTTGCTGCTGTTTTTATGGCTCTATTTTTCAGTTTTGAGGTTACTTCTTGAACAACTCCTGACTTATTGGTATAAAA